TCCCTGTTCCCGTTCCCGTTGCGCTCGCACCTGCCCCGGGTACGCCATGCCGCGCCCTCCGCCCCGCTGACGTCATGGGAGAAACGCGCGCTCATTGGCTGCTGTGATTGGACTCCGCCCCTTGTGGGCGGGGCGAGAAGAGTGGGCGGAGCAACTGGGAACCACGACACCTTAAAGCGGCGATGGCTGCGAGAGGTGGGGACCACCGTGAGAGCAGGATCAGCGCGGGAGATGGTCCAGGATCAACCTGGGAGTGGGTCAGGATCAGTGCGGGAGTGGGTCAGGATAACCCCGGGAGTGGGGCTGGAAGCCCCCCAAGATCAAGGTTGGGAGTCCCCTGGGAGCAGGGATGGGATTCCACCAAGAAGGAACTCGAATCTCCCCAGGATCAGGGCTGGGATCTCCTGGAATCAAAGCTGGGATCTCCTGGAATCAGGGATGGGATCTAACAGGAATCAGGGCTGGAATCTCCTAGAATCAAAGCTGGGATCTCCTGGAATCAGGGCTGGGATCTAACAGGAATCAGGGCTGGGATCTCCTGGAATCAAAGCTGGGATCTCCTGGAATAAAAGCTGGGATCTCCTGGGATCAAGGATGGGATTTAACTGGAATCAGGGCTGGAATCTCCTAGAATCAAAGCTGGGATCTCCTGGAATCAGGGCTGGGATCACCTAGAACCAAAACTAGGATCTCCTTGGATCAGGGCTGGGATCTCTTAGGATCAGGGATGGAATCTTCTAGGATCAGGGACAGGATCTCTGCAGATCAGGGTTGGGACCACTCCAGGAACCAGGCTGGGATTCCCTTTGAGGCAGGGCTGGATGCCTCCAGAATCAGGGCCAGAATATCCTGGGATCAGCTCTGGAATCCTTCCAGGATCCCTCCATCCCTCAGCCCCAGGCTCAGAGGAGTGTGCAGAGCAGCATCCCTGGGGAGCAGGGATGGGGACAAGGCAGAGATCCATGGGTGACAGGTCACACAGGCACAGGGACACCAGCACAGGTGTATTTATCAGGACAGGATCCACCTGCCCTCGCCATGGTGACAGAGCTGTACAACCCCCAATTCCCAATCCATCCCCCCTGGCACAGACACGGCCCCGGCACAGCGGGGAAACAATATTAACAGCAAAGCTGGGGGGCACGGGGGGCACAGGGACCCTCAGCCAAAGGGACCCTTGACGTTCTTGGGCTGGAAGAGAGGCTGCTCCAGGGGCACAGCTCCCAGGCACTCGGCAGGGCTGCAGTGTCCTGTCTTGCCCGGCTGCCCCGTGGCA